GCTTGTGAAGAGAATTGAGCTAATTGCCCTAGCTCAAATGCATGGCTCTCATCAGCTACTCTTGAGTTCCTATACCAATCATTTAGGAACTTTTGCAGCTAATCTAAGTTTTAACCCCTGTGCAGTTCTTCTGAGGCACATTAATTTGACCTTTGGAGAGTTTGAAAGTGAACTATTTTTTAACTTGCTTGGAGTAGCATGTTTTAAAGGTCTAACAGCCTGTATTGCCATGCTTGCTTTATAATTTTAAATCTCTGCTGGGCTTCTCTAACCAAAGAGTACTAGCTGAAACTTGCCCTTGCCAAGCTGTGCATGGGATTCCAGAGGTCTTGGCCTTCAACCAGGGTCTGTGCTCCTTTGGAGAACTGAAGATGTAGCAGAGGTTGTTGTAGCTTTGAGAAATATGATTTATTCACATATTTACACCTTCAGTCTGCATGGAGGAAGTACAGCTCTTACAGCATGGTCATCTCAAGAGGACCTTGAGATGTTCCTCACAGCAGTGCAGCACTGGAGTCCAAGGCACCTCTCCCAGCCTGCCCCAAGATGGATTTGTCTTTGTTCACTCCCTCCTTCTTCCCAGCACACCTTGCTAAAGAGACCTTTTTCCCCTGTCACCTGTCTCTCACACACCATCACTTTGGCAACCTCTGTCTGCCCAGGCCCAAAATTCCTCTTAGATGGGTCATCAACATATTTTTGTCATGTAAACGCTTCTATCCCAGGTGAGGTCCTGGCTTGGAAAGGAAACTTAGCCTATGTTTTCCAGCTGGCCTGCAATCTTCCCTTCAATACTCCAAATAATCAAAATCCTATCATTTATTAATTTCTATGGTTTAGGCCGGCCCCCCAACACTTCACACAATGCATTTTATTCCTTGTACTGTGGGCTATCTTCAGCATAAAGAGAGAAATGACATCAGAAATGGGTTTGGGAAGGTGAAAAGGGAGCTTAGTAGCTGCAAGGAGAAGCTATATGTGGTTAATATAGGGGGAGTGGCAGCAGTTGGTGAGCAGAGCAAGCAGGAATAGATAAAAAAAATAAGTCAATTTGTTTTAAATATTTGCTGTTACTGGTATTTTAAAATGAATATTTTAGAATGTTTTTTGCAAACTGCTTCAAGATTTTCAACAGTATATATATATTTTTGTTAACATTTTTAAATTTTGCTTATCCCATTGCTGTGACACAGTCCCCAGAAAAAAACTAATATCAAAATATATTTAGTAATGAACATTTTGAAAATAAAAAGAAATGGGGGCTAAGAAAGGTTCCCCATATCTGATGTTTAAAACCTTGAAATGGTCACATGAACTTTGATATCTTTAACATGCGCTGTCCATGTTGCTATTCTTTTTCTTTTCATTCCTTTGGTTTTCTTTTCATTCCTTTGATAAAGTGGTCTCATTTCACCATTGTCAATATTTACATGGCTTCTAGACTTTTAGTATTTGAGAAATGAAAGGTCTTTTTATTTTCAGATACAGTGGAAGAGAAGGAGAGAAAAGCAAATTAACAACTCGGTTGGCTGTGTCTCCTTTAGCTGCACTACTTGGTAAATGGTGCCATTTCCAGCTGTCTCTCTCTCTCCCCTCTGTATTGTAAACTCCTCAAAACATGCACACACACATTAAGGGTGAGCCAAAATAATCATCCCCAATTCATTAGTGCATTGGCAAGGTGGCCATTTTTACTCCATTTCAGCAGTACAGTTATAAGACTCTGCCAATTTTGGTTTTTCTCCGTTTCTCATTTTTTCCAAACTTATATTAAATTCTCCACGTTTCTGCAGCAATTTGATATTATTATTATTATTATTTTTTAGAAAAAAGTCCTCATGAAAATTCATTATCATTTTGGTGTGGATTTCTCCTAATATACTTTTTTTTTTGCCAGAAATTTCACCTAACGTGATGAATTTTGTATGTTATTTTCACCAGTATATGCATTATTATGCATACTTCCTCCTCACACATGCATTTTTGTACACATTGTTTGGTTGAAGAACTGCATTGCAAAATTTTGAGAAGTGCAAATTTTGAAGTTTAGCTTTCATTTGGTTTTGCTTATTGGTTAAAGAAGTATGAATTAGGGAGCTTCCCATTAAAATGTGAATAAAATCAAATTTCTCCATCCCTGGGCTAGCACCTTAGTGCTGAGGACAGTATTTTAATTTGTCCCTTGAAGAAGAGCTGTGCCCCACTTTTGCCTTGGTTCAGAGAATACTTGAGCTGATAATAATAATAATAATAATAATAATAATAATAATAAATTTTATTTATATTCCGCCCTCCCCAGCCAAAGCCGGGCTCAGGGTGGCTAACAACAATCAAATAATCAAACAATCAAATAATCCAACATTCTAAAACATTTCATTATAAAAATTAATTAAAATCAAATTAATGGCAACCGTTAAGCAAAGTTCTGTGCAGGTTGCCAGAGGAGGGAGTCAGGCTGGGCCCTGACCAAAGGCCTGGTGGAACAACTCTGTCTTGCAGGCCTTGCGGAAAGATGTCAGGTCCCGCAGGGCCCTAGTCTCTTGTGACAGAGCATTCCACCAGATTGGAGCCGCAGCCGAGAAAGCCCTGGCTCTAGTTGAGGCCAGCCTAACCTCTCTGAGGCCTGGGACCTTCAGGATGTTTTTATTTGCAGACCGTAGGTTCCTCTGTGGGGCATACCAGGAGAGGCGGTCCCATAGGTACGAGGGTCCTAGGCCGTATAGGGCTTTAAAGGTTAAAACCAGCACCTTAAACCTGATCCTGTACTCCACCGGGAGCCAGTGCAGCTGTATAGTACCGGATGAATGTGATCTCGCAGCGAAGACCCCATAAGGAGTCTCGTCGCAGCATTCTGCACCCGCTGGAGTTTCTGGGTCAGTCTCAAGGGCAGCCCCACGTAGAGCGAGTTACAATAATTCAGTCTGGAGGTGACCGTCGCGTGGATCACAGTGGCTAGGTCAGGGCGAGAGAGATAAGGGGCCAACTGCTTAGCTTGGCGGAGATGAAAAAATGCTGCCTTTGTTATAGCTGTAATCTGTGCCTCCATAGAGAGGGAGGTATCGAAGATTACACCCAAACTCTTAACGGACAGTGCTGGCACTAATTGCACCCCCGCAAGAGATGGGAGTTGCCCCCCCCCCAATCCCATATCGTCCCGTCCCAGCCAGAGGACCTCTGTCTTCGAAGGATTTAACTTCAACCGGCTTCCACGTAACCATCCAGCCACAGCTTCCAAACATCTGGTCAGTGTGTCTGGGGCCGAGTCAGGATGGCCATCCATCAACAGATAGAGTTGGGTGTCATCGGCATACTGATGGCAACCCAGCCCAAAACTCCGGACAAGCTGGGCGAGGGGGCGCATAAAGATGTTAAAAAGCATCGGGGAGAGTATCGCACCCTGAGGCACTCCACACACCAAGGAGTGGCACGATGACAATTCCCCCCCAAGTGCCACCCTCTGTCCCCGACCAGAGAGAAACGAGTGCAGCCATTGAAGGACTGTGCCCTGGATCCCCACGCCGGCAAGGCGGTGGTCCAGGAGTTCGTGATCGACCATGTCGAAGGCTGCTGACAGGTCTAGAAGAATCAGCAGCCCCGACCCGCCTCGATCCAGCTGCCTGCGGAGATCATCTGTTAGGGCGACCAGAGCCGTCTCGGTCCCATGACCAGCGTGGAAGCCGGACTGGAATGGATCCAGAGCCGATGTTTCATCCAGAAACCTACCAAGCTGTTCAGCAACCGCTCTCTCAATCACCTTACCCAGGAATGGAAGATTCGAAACCGGGCGGTAATTGGATAGATCTAAGGGATCTAATGATGTTTTCTTTAAGAGCGGGTGCACCACTGCCTCCTTCAATTCCCCTGGAAATATCCCGGTGCCAAGGGACAAATTGATGATATCCCCCAGGGGGGCCCGCACCTCGTCTGGACATGCTCTAATCAGCCAAGACGGGCACGGGTCAAGAGGACAGGTGGTGGGCTTTCCAGCTCGGAGGAGTCTGTCCACATCGGCTGGGGATATCCGGTTGAAGTGGTCCAATACTGGATCCGAGGACAGTCGAGGGGCCTCCAGTTCCTTTATTGTATCCAAATTGGCAGGGAGGTCATGGCGGAGCAACAGGACCTTCTCCGCAAAAAAGCTCGCAAATGCCTCACAGCTGTGTGTCAGATTGTTATTTAAATTTGGCTGTCCTTCAAGGGACGTTAAAGACCTAATTATACTAAATAATTGCGCCGGGCGAGAGCTAGCGGATGCAATGGAGGCCGAGAAGTAAGACTTCTTAGCGGCCTTCACTGCCATCTCATAGGTTTTCATAAAAACCCTATAAGATGTTCTTGAGGCTCCGTCACGGGCACCCCGCCATACTCGCTCTAGCCATCTGAGGTCCCGCTTCTTTTTCCGAAGCTCCTCGGTAAACCAGGGAGCCCGGTTTCTGCGGAGTCGCAGAGGGCACTTAGGTGCGATCTCATCAATGGCTGCCAGGAGCTGGATATTCCAGCCCTCAACAAGCTCAGTCAATGAGTCGCCAGGGGAAGCAAGGTCCCGCAAGGCTTGACGGAATCTATCAGGGTCCATCAGCCTCTGCGGGCGAGCCCAAATCGGCTCGCCACCTAAGCAGGGTGGGGGTGGAAAGTCAATCCTGGCTTTCAGAGCGTAGTGATCAGACCATGGCACCTTAATTGAAGGAGACATGATCACATCTATACCTACGCCAAAGATCAAATCCAGCGTGTGGCCTGCTTGATGTGTGGGGCCTGAAACAAACTGGGAGAGCCCTAGTGTCGCCATGGAAGACACCAGGTCCAGAGCCTGTGAGGAGGGAGTGGCATCAGCATGGATGTTGAAGTCCCCCAATACCAATAGGTTAGGGAACTCCAAGGCCCAGCCGGCCACCGCCTCCAGCAGGCCTGACAGGGTGGCTGCTGGTGCACTAGGTGGCCGGTACACCAGCCAGACAGCCAAGCTCACCTCAGAGCCCCACACTAGGCCAACACATTCAATGCCGGGGATCGATGGCGATGGTAGAGCCCTGAAAGAACAATCTTCCCAGATTAATAATGCCACCCCTCCCCCTCGACCCACAGTCCGCGACTGGTGGAGGACGGAGAAACCCGGGGGCGCCATCTCTCGTAAGGTAACTGTTGCCCCTTCGCGTACCCAGGTCTCCGTCACACAAGCCAGGTTGACCCCCTGCGAGGTAAAGAAATCTCGCAGAGTGGCGGTTTTGTTGCCTATAGACCTGGCATTGCACAACACCAGTGACGGAGGTGAGTAATCCTTGCTCACCCTACCCTCGTCCCTCGGGATGGGGCGCAGATTGGAAGGGGTATGAGCATATCCGTATCTCGATCCCCTTCGCCTATAACATCTGCCCCCACCACCATACCTCCCTCGCCCCTCCACGGTAGCAATCCCAAGCCTCATACAAGCCTCCATTTACAAAATAGAAAAACAAAACAAAACAAAAACAATTATACCTAAACAAAACCAATCCCCACCCCAAACCACAATAAAACGGAACAAAATAAAAATACATAGATAAAAACCACTGTTCACGGTGGTACAACAAAGTAAAAAGTAAAAACACCTTTAAAACACTTTAAAATATATAAAAACATTTTTAACATTTGCTGCAGCGGCACCAGTGTCCTTAAAACTGTAGCGGAGGTGAGTCTGGGCCCCACGTCCTAGGCTAGGTGGAATTAGCCTGAGGAGGAAGCGGCCTTCCCCAACACTCACGGTGCAGCAGCAGCGATGTCCCAGTGCCTCAATGAGGCCTCTTAAAGCTGTGGCGAAGGTAAGTCTGGGCCCCACCCCCTAGGCCTGGTGGAGTTAGCCTGAGGAGGGAGCGGCCTTCCCCAACACTCACGGTGCAGCAGCAGCAGCAAATTAGATGTTTTTCTTGCTTGCTTGCTTTCTCTTCTTCTCCCTTTAGCACATCTAATTCCTCGTACCAGCCTAATCCAGCTGCACAGTATTTGTCTCCTCTGACTAGGAAGCTTTCTGGTTCATTAGACAAAGAGTCCAGGACTGGGGCTGGGGGCTGGGATAGATTGTATTGCAGTAGGGACCACAGCCAAGGGTGGAAAGAGGAAAACTGTAAACAGATATCCCCTCCAAAAAAACAACTCCCAATTGCCTAACAGTAGCAACATCTCAAAAACTTTCTCTACCTCTGCACTGCCTCTACTCCTAAATTAGGCTGCTGAAAAAGCATGTTTAGGGATATGGAACATGCAGTTTTTATGTGAAAGGATTCATGGACTTGATTCTAGAACTGAATTATTCCTTATCTCTTATCAGCAGTAGAGATCAGTCCATTAGGACAAATGGGCTGCTGCCCCACCAACTCATTCTGCCCTCCACTTGCCTGCCTTCTTACTTACATCCAGTCAAAGGGGCAGCACTGCTTGTCATCTATCTCTTCCTTCATCTCAGTGCTGCCCCTTGTCTTCTTTCTCTGGCGATCACTCATAGCCAGGTAAAATTGTCTTCAATGAACATGGTCTTAACAGTGAGTCCGTTAGTGACTCTGGAGGCCAATTCTGTATCCACACATCTTTCCACAGAGGGGACATAGGTTTCAGGGCAGAAGTTGATCACAGTGAGGGTTTGCCAAATGTGCCTTCCTCTTAGCTCATTTCTCCTTTCACCCTGAGTTTGTGCTTCTTCAAAGTCTATGACACCTTTGGTAAAGGCTGTTCTCCAATTGGAGTGCTTGCTGCCCCTTGTAGAACACATCAGGAAGAGGACAGGGCAAAACTAGATTTGGTTGGCTCTGTCTAATTGGTTATGGCCATCACTGGCTCTAGCTCCACTTCCTATTGACCTCTCTGCCTCCATTCCACCAGGATCAATGGGAACCAGCCACCATTGCTTAGCTTACACCCAGCCGAACCACTGTTTTCCATCTGGCTCCAGTTGGTGGCTTTCAAGCTTCAGGTTTGTGTTTTTTTGTTTTTAAACTAGCTCCCGAAAGGTTGCAGTCTGCCCACTCCTGCCATGGGAAATGAACTTGAAGCTGATAGTGCTAGGTGGGTTGTGCATGAACATATCTGTCAAAACACTTCTGATTGCAGGATTAAGCCTTCCCAGTTTTCAATTTTTCTTCCAACTCTTTCCACCCACTCCTTTGATGCTCATCTAGGGGGTTCAGATTGTATACTTTCTGAGCCTTAGCTTCATATCCAATTGGATTTCAACTTTGACAAACCTATTTTCCTACCCTGCAAGTCTCCTATCACAAATCCATCATAATTTCTCTGGTTTATGCTAGTTCTGCTCATTCAAGATTTCTTATCTGCCCAATATTTTTCCATCTCTAAAGTAAACTCACAGTTACTCTGTCTCTATATGTGAGCAGACAGGAGAGTTAATGAATTTTACATACACTTGCCGTTAATTTAAATGAAAAGGGGGGGGGGTTGCTCTGGAAATTTGAACTTCAGAGTACTTTAATAAAATAGTACTTTAAAAGTTTGACAGGGAGCTGGAACTTATTTGAGCTTGAATTCAGAATAATTACTGGAATACAAATAGACCAGCAGTGACAAAGACACACATTAAGCCTCCGGATAATGAAGGGTCTGCTTTGCGCCTCAATAAACTGTGATGGTACTGCATGATGATACAGAGACTTGTAACAATTTTGTCTCTCCCTAAGCACGTTATAATAAGAAGCAAAAGTATGGCTACTATATGAGTGCAAAAGAATGGGTGCGTGGGGGGAATCTTATTTTATTTCAAATCCCCGAGAAGGTCTTTGCTGAAAGTTAACTGACAATTACAGAATCTTAGGATTTCTATAGTTCTTGAATGTATTTGTTATGTGCCATTAGTCACCAGGTGAAGCCCTACACTTATAGCAATACCCTTCAGTAACAGCTTGGGAGAATCTAACACTGATTGATGGCAAGTCACCTGGAATTGGTTGGCAGAATTTCCAATTTTCTGTGGGGAAATTGCTTATTTCACTGAGTCTATTCCCATTTTTACAAGTGGACAGCAAGCTGAGATTATACATTATTATGTGTCTGACTAAAATGGTGATGGATGGTGTCACACATTTAAAGAGAATTAAACATTTCATTTAGGGCTGGGTTTGGGAAAAAAATGAGAGTTTAAATAACTTTATAATACAGGCTGGCTTTTAAAATGCAGTCTCTCTGACTTTTTTTTGTCTCATTTCATCCATGCTCTGAGAAGAATTGCTACACCTTCAATATTTAGATGGAGAGCAACTTTGAAATGTGCTTTTAAGATATTCAAAATAGTATCTAAATAAATATTTTTTTGAAAGTTTTAAGACTGCTTGGACAAAATAGTGTTGAACTTTTAACTTTTAACGTGTTGTAAATGAGAGTTGCAGAAAGCATATTCTCCTTCATGAACCGCACGGGTTGTGGTGGGGTTAACCAGAAACCCCTTTGTTGCTGGGCGAGTTGGTTTGGATGGCCACAGTTGTGATTGGGCTCCTCCGGTTGCTGGGGAGAGTTTGATGTTGCCAATTTTGACTGACAGCCTTGGTTGTATATATTCCCTGCACACAGCGTTGAGCTTCCTCTTTTCACTGACTGGATCGGATCATCTGCCCACCCTCCCTGATTTTAGGTCATTTTTTGCATTTGACCTTGCTATGCCTGTTATGGGGTCGTCTGCTTTTGAGGCAGGGGACTGGTAGGAATTTTGTCCATTTGGCTGATTGGCTGGTGCCATTTGGTTTTTGCCTAAAGATAAAGGGACCCCTGACCATTAGGTCCAGTCGTGGCCGACTCTGGGGTTGTGGTGCTCATCTCACTTTATTGGCCGAGGGAGCCGGCGTACAGCTTCCGGGTCATGTGGCCAGCATGACTAAGCCGCTTCTGGTGAACCAGAGCAGCGCACGAAAATGCTGTTTACCTTCCCGCTGGAGCGGTACCTATTTATCTACTTGCACTTTGACGTGCTTTCGAACTGCTAGGTTGGCAGGAGCAGGGACCGAGCAACGGGAGCTCACCCCGTCGCAGGGATTTGAACCGCCGACCTTCTGATCGGCAAGTCCTTGCCTCTATGGTTTAACCCACAGTGCCACCCGCGTCCCTGTAGGTTTTTGCCTACTGCATAGCAAATCATCACAACTTGTAAGATTGTGGTTAGGCATTGGTTTTAGAAAAATTGGTTGGTGGAGCGGTGTGGATTGGCTGTGCCTGCCCCTCCAATGCTGCTGCTGCTGCAAGGGTATTCTGTTAAAGGAATCCAGGGGCGCACCATGCTTTTGTCCGCACCTCTGTCAAGGGGGCTAGGGCCACGCAAAAGCCCCTGGGAGCATTTGGGGAGAGGTGAAGGTCTGGTACCCAGCTCCATTTGCTCCCCATAAAATGTTTTCCCTTACTGACTTCGCAGGCTTGTGGATATCAGTCCTGTCCCTGGGCGAGGACAGATAGTCTCAACCAATGCCTAAGCAACCACTCACATGTTTTGTATTTTAATAAAGTTGTGGCCAAAATTATGCCAAAAACCTTCAACAAAATTATGGTGTAAAGTGTGAATTGGGGACCTCGACATGCAAATATCCATTTTGATCAATGACAATTTAAAATAAATAAATACGGTAGATCTTTTACACATTTATTTTTGAGGTAGGAGATAGTGGTTTTTTGTTTTTGCAAACAGGGGCAGACAATGCTAAGTACAGATCTGCAAGTTTGGGAAATGGGTCAGCCAAACTTTGAGGAAAAACTTTATTGTGAGGGCTAATATTTTTATGAGATTACCAGTTTAAGCAAATGGAACAGCGGGTATTCTGGCATGGAACAACTGTCTCTAGGTGTATGCTAAGTGGAAGAAAGTGATGGGAATGCAGCTGTACCTGAATTCCTTGGGTTCATTTAATCTCAGACCAAACTGTAGTAGGCATAGCCAACAAAATATTATCTGCTTGCTCTGGTTTTGAACTAGGTCTCAGTAAGTTAGTTGGACAAGGATATAATTGTTGTGCAACCACAGCAGGAAAAAGGGCGAGGTTCAAGCATAAGTCAGGCCAATCTGTCATCAGACAACTTTTGACCACTCTTCATTCTATAGATGTAATCTCACTGCAAATGATAGGAAGTGTAAACGCTGTGTAAAATACAGTAGGCACAATTAAAGCAAAAAGTAAATAAATCTGTGAAAGCATCTAAAGATGGCATCTAGCATATAACTCTGTATAGAGCACGTTGCTTTAGAGCATGGATAACTGAAGCTATGCTATGGGCATAAGCACTCCTGACCACAGAATCCATTGAAGTCTCATCCTACAAGTTGGAATCAAGAACTACTCCTATACTACAAACATGTTCCTTCAGGAGGAGTGCAACCATTCCTAGGACAGGTTATAGCATAATTCCAAGACATGGGAACCACCCACCTATAGCACCTTCACTGGTCCCCATACAGCCATTCACTGCGTCCAGGCACTGGTCCAACACTCAGATGGGAAGGAGAGAGGGGGTGGGGCAAGACGCATGTTGTCAACATACTGGTGCTTCCATGATCAATATGTGATTGGTTCACATATGATTGGTTCGCATATTGATTCAAGAATGTGAATTAGGTAGTTTCTCAAAAAAATTCAAAATAATTTTTCTCCTTATTATGCTGCTATCATTTTTTGAAATGACCTACACACACACATGCCTTCCCTGGTTTTATGCTTCAATTGCTCCCTCCATTGACTGAGAGCTGGGGTCAGGTTTTATTCTTATGTTCTTGCTGAGAGTCAGGGTGTACAGGGCCTTTGTCATCCTTAGATCTCTGTCACCCTTAGATCTCTTGCTAATTATGCTGTTTTAAATGTGCATTTTATATTTCACTTAATAATGTTTTATTCCAAAATCTTTAAGATAATATTGCAGTTTCCTGTTAATTATGTTGCTTTGAATGTATACTTTATATTCGACTTTCTTCCGTCATATTTTATTCTGGGTTGTTTTATGTTTTAACATGGGTTGTAAAGCACTTTGAGATTTTTTCCTTAAAAATATACCGTGGTAAAGAAATGAGATGAATCATAATAATAAGGAAAAGAATTATAATAAAAAAAGAAAAAATTGTAAACATTCTGAGTGAAATGCCAATAAATACAAGGAAAAATGTTAGGTTTGTAACATTCAAGGAAAGTGCAAAGCAGGCCTGGTGAGGGATATGACTTGGGGTCATGTGTGGCATGAGGAGAGTCTACCTGAGGGCCAGGTAGAGAGGGCCTGGATGACATCATTTGGCCTGCAAACCTGAGGTCCCATGTACCTGATGTATGGTATAAGGAATGTTGGCCTTAAAGAGATTCACTATCAGAAAGTTTGAGAAGTCTCCGACCGTGACATACTTCCACTTTTAATTGAGTGCCAGGCACATATGCTGGAACTAATCAGCTACAAGTGAATGAGTTGGGACTTAAGACATTTCCCACATGGCAACTCTCCTTTAATGAACTTCCAGTTATATTGAATTGCACCTTTCTTTTATTCCTGGTGCTACTTTATGTTCTCCCTGCCCTTCATTTTGTTTCTTTGTATTTCTTGGAATCACATTGCATTCAGCTTCCATAATATATTCTCTCCCTTTCCACTTCACTCCCCGTACAGCACATTGGGCTTCTTCGTATGATAGATGCTCTATGAAAATAAATTGCATTGGTTTGGGAGTTCTGAAATCTTCAGGGCACAATTCTTTTTCAATGACTCAGAAATCCGGCCTTGAAATTATGAATCATCATAGATACATTTTTTCCCAAGGCAATACGCATCCCTTTAATTACTTCCATAACACTTTATCTGAGCCATTCGAAAATATAAAGCTAAGATGTGCTCTCCTACTACCTCTCGCCTCTTTTCTCTTTGGTCTGGTGCAATTCTAGACTAGCTCTGCAAGGCTGATTCCGGATTCCATTAGTGGCTTTGATTCAGGGTAAATCATATCTTTTAAAGTCACAGAGCTTCACATCTCAGAACTGTACAACATGTTGTAAACTTCTTTGCAAACTTTATTCTGTGGAATATATATTTCCCACTTTAGTCCCCCTGTGCATTAACTTCTTGATACAAGCACATTGCAAGAGAGGTGGCTGCAGCAAATGGATTTAAAATGATTTTTTTAATTTTTTTAACATATTCAGACAAGAAAGCATGGTGTGAGTAGCCCAGATGCTGTTTTTGTTAAACTATAGATCACAGTATCACATGGACCAATAAAATGGGAGATGAAAAAGTTGCTCATTCTTTTTCTGCAGGAACCCTACCCCCCAAAAGAAGGAAAAACCTTACCCTTTACTTCATGGGTGGCCAATAGAATCTGGTCAGTGGGACAAATAATTATCTCCTCCATCTTCTGTGGACCAAGTTTGACAGTCGAATGGAGCTGCTAACCTGTTAATCAATTGATGTCATGATGATGTCAGGACTGGCAATCCCTGCTGTAAGTGCTTCAGAGTTGAAAAGCTTTATCTAGATCATGTTTGGTATAGTATCTGGTTGGGAGGTTTTTAACAGCTGTATAGCCTGCAAGTCTATTATCACTGAACATGCTCATTAAATGTCACTATTTGAACAATTAATATTTAATTTGCTGTAGGCAATTTTGATAAATGTTAATTAAATATCTACAATTTTTTTACAAAGAATATACTAATATGAAAAAGGCATTTCTTGATTCTTCTGATTTCTGAGCTAATTACATGACTATTTGATCTATCTTCTAAATACCCAATATGTTCTTCCTGAACAATCATTTTTATTTTTATTTAACAGTATCTTGGGTTGGTAGATTGGAAATAAAGTATGTCACTGGAAGAAATTAAAAAATGGTAGAAATATTTCAATGGTGATTAAAGAGATGACTGATTGAGTTGATTAATTCCAGTACCATTTGAGCAATTCAAGACACAGGGGTGTGAATTCTGTTTTTCAAGCACCTATAGTACATATCCATTGCAAGTACTCAATTGCAACAGCATGTATTTCAGATGGGGAGAACTCCCAATGAGAATCTCAAAATGGGGCTAAAAAGATCCCTGAACCATTTCCCCCATACTCAAGTTATTCATAACCTAATTCTAGACCAATTCAGATCCTGTTGAACCTCCAGGCTGTTTTCTAGAAAAGTCATTTCCCTCCAAAAAGTTCCTGTACCTCCAATAGTTCAATGCAAGGCAGAAATTCAGGGCCACTGGCAGGCATGTTTTTGCTGCCTGTAGGATAAGGTGGCATTCTACTCCATTCCACATATATAAACCAACTGGAGTGGTGTCTGAATCTACTTTGGCAAGGTGACAGTGTCCTATGCCACTTCTGAAGCACTAAACTAGTTCAGCGGATGGAGGGAAAACAAGCCACAGCAGGGGGAAATGACTGGAGGAGAAACCTGAGGGCATGCTCCATTGCACCCAAAGCATTAGTCAGTAGAGCACGAGACTCTTAATCTCAGGGTTGTGGGTTCAAGCCCAATGTGGAGCAAAAGATTCCTGCATTGCAGGATGCTGGACTAAAGGACCCTTGTGGTCCCTTCCAACTCTACAGTTATATGATTCTATCTGCCACCTGCGCTGTTAAACCACAGAGCCTAGGACTTGTTGATCAGAAGGTCGGTGGTTCGAATCCCCGTGAAGGGGTGAGCTCCCATTGCTCAGTCCCTGCTCCTGCCAACCTAGCAGTTCGAAAGCATGTCAAAGTGCAAGCAGATAAATAGGCTCCAGCAGGAAGGTAAACGGTGTTTCTGTGTGCTGCTCTGGTTCGCCAGAAGCGGCTTAGTCCTGCTGGCCACATGACCCGGAAGCTGTACGCCGGCTCCCTCGGCCAATAAAGCGAGATGAGCACCGCAACCCCAGAGTCGGCCACGACTGGACCTAATGGTCAGGGGTCCCTTTACCTTTTTATCTGCCACCTGAGGCAGTTGCTTCACTTTGCCTAATGGCAGGGCCAACCATGTCTGCTGTGGAGTTCATTCTTGCAAGAGGTAGTGCTGACCATGAACTTTAATGGCTTTTAAAGAGAAGTGACAAATTCATGGAGGACAAGGCTATCTGCCTCCACTGTCAGAGGCAGTTCCTGGAAAACGTTTGACGGGAGAGTGCTGTTGCCCTCTAACTCTGCTTTCTAGCCTTCCCACAGGGATCCGCTTGGCTACTGTGAGTACAGGAAGCTGGACTAGATGGACCACTGGCCTGATCCTGCAGGCTCTTCTTTTGTTTTTAACAATGGCATTGGAAACCATCTTTCTCCCCACTATAGCCCCAAAGGCAACACCCCTGCTTCTGCAGCCCCCCTTCCCCTGGTGTACACTCATCAGTATCCTACAAGTCTGTGACACCATGTCTTCACACCTTTGCCCTTGACCTCACTTCCTTCTGTAATTGTTCCAGATGTGCCTTCTTCTTTCCACCATCGCTGGTGCATGAACAAAGTGGAGGCGGGGCATCGAGATAGTGGAGGGACAGGGGACATGGAGGTATGTGGGGGACAGCTTCATTTAATACCTGTTTTAAATTTTAATACAAGTTGGGAAATCCTTCTTTGGGGTGCAATTCTTCTTTATTGTTGGAACAAACATAATAAATTCACCAAGATTTGTCTTTTCCAACCCAGGCAGTAGCATTTGGGTAAATGGGGCAGCTGCTTTCCTTTCCATCACCACATGGTGTACCAGGAGGTGAAGGAATGGGGCTGTGGCAAGTTCAACATGGTGCAAATGCACTGGTAGGAGCTTGACATCCCATATGCACCACACCAGCCTTGCTAGTCTCACCCTCCTGGTATGCCGCAGTGATGACAGTCATGGGAGGTCATGCAAGCAATACCACCATTCCAGCTGCTACTGAAACCTGGAAATAAGAATGTTGGCAGAATCACTACATGTAAGTACTCATATACTTCCCTGGCAATCTATCCAGAAGACATTTGTATTTTGAGGAGTTAGTGAAGAGAAACAGATAAGGTTTCCTCACCTCAGGTTCACTTCAGAATGCTTGTGTGAATCAAAACATGAACACTTTGCTCCAGCTACCAGCTCCTTCTGTTCATTTGTATTCAACTCACCTCCACATATTGCCAACATGCACATTATACATGCACATTGATAAACGATACAAAAGAACAATGACAATGGAAAACAACAGCCATTCTTAATACTGCTCTGCACATGACTACAACACAATTCTTTTTGTGTGGTGTTTCACTGATGTGCCCATAGCTCCTGCACATCAGTAAAATATCACACATACCACATTGGATTGTATCCAATGCTGCCTCTTTCATTCACAGAAAAATCATTGATATATAGTTCAAGTGTGGGGAAATTCTGGCCATCCAGCTATTGCCAATCTACAGCTCCTATCATCTCTGGCCCTTAGCTATGCTTGCTGATAGGAGTTCTAGTTCAACAACATTCAGAGGGCCAAAGGTTCCCCACACTGATAACAGAAGGGGGGGGGGAGTCATTTTGCAGCTCCCTATGCCACCTTCCACACCATTCTGCAAGGTCTTCTAACATTCTGAAGCAAAGACTTTGGCATGCAGAGGGAGGGAGGAATTGTCCCAGAAAATTGTCTCCCTCCCTCTGCTGTGAAAGTGGAGGCATCTGCTAGATCAAAATCTATTGCACAGTTGGCTTCAACCCTCTTGTTACTGTTGCACATATGGTCACACTGAGGTTGCTTTGTTCCAGAGTCATATCGATGAATAGCGGCAATGCAGAGGAAATAAACAAATGAACTGAAAGCTAGCTACACAATGCGTGCAATACTTTGTGCCAAATTGGGAAATATAAAAGAGATTAATGGAGGATTCCTAATGTCTTGGTTCTGCTTTGGAAACATTACCAGGTTATTCAAAACTCCATGATCCACAGAGAAATTAAGATAAGGAAAATTTGGGGAGCACCCTGAAGTATGAACTGATTTGAAACTGTTCATTGCTGTAGATAGGCCCCAGATATGGATTCTGATGAACAGAGCTTTTGGTAGGTGACTACGATTGATCTCCACTGCCTTATGAGGCATCCTTTAGTATATGGAAGGGGAACAATCACCTCATATAAGGGTTCCTTGTGTTTCAAATGATTATATCTTTCAAGGATAATAGGGAGAATATAAAAGAAAACAATAAAAAAGCAGGGATGGAATGTGAAAAGATAAAGATAAATCCAACCAAACCATGCAAGATAGCTGTTATCGGTGGCTGTGAACTCAAAGAGAGTGCCTGTTAATGACTGGAGATAACATTTTAATACAAAGAAGGAAATCGAATTTTGAGAATACAGCTAGATAGTTGGGAGTGCTCTTATTTTGAGAATACAGAGAGAGGCAAAAGGGGGAAATGACAAGTCCTTTGATATGTTTCACACATTGCTGAGATTTACAACCAAATCAGCAGTATAGCATTCCTAGTTTTAAAAATGTAAATAGCAGCCATGGGAGGGGTGAGGGTATCATGACAAGAGGGTGGAGAGGGTCATTTTACACCCTTTCCACTCTCCATAGAGTTCATAAAATCCTTCCACCTGAAGCTGCTATTGGTATAGGGAAAGAAACTTCCACTGAAACAAATTGCGTCATCACTCCCAATGTAAACAGCATTATGAGAAGGTTGCAGTGGGTCTATTCACCAGAACTGAGCCGATTTCTGGGAATCTGGGTTTTGGCCAAGGCAGCACCAGATTGACCCTGGTTGGGGTACCTAGAGCAATCCAAGGCTCTTAGGGAGTGAGAAATTGAGCAAGAAGGTTGCAGACGTCTGCTTCACCAGTGTGTTCCATGCAGGGAATGTACTAGGGAAACAGACCCCACCATGATTGACTCCTCCACTGACCATCTGGAAAGCTCCACAGAGGGAAGACACTTGCAAAACAGCACCCTGCAGGACTGACACCCCCACTCAGTAGCTGGTCAGTGGAGGATTCAATTCTACTATAGGCTGAATGGATTTGTTTCTCATGCTTCTCCTTCCCAGTCCCAACCTTATGTTCAGTTAGAATTTTAAAAACCCTGTTTAAACATTAGCCCTCTCCTCATATTGTTTTGAGGCCAGATCTGGGTCTGATGTTCCCTGGATCAACTGGGGACTAGGGCTGCGCAAAGCCCTATGGCTCGTGAATCCCTCCGAGTCTCCCATGGCTGCTATGTGAGGATAGGTGAGAAATGTGATTTGAATTTCTTTTAAAGACAAAGGTACCTAATTCACACTTTCCAAAACAATCTGCAAACTGAACCATAGCCGTCCTTCAAAGCTCACACTTCTCAAAATGTTGCTGTGCAGTTCTCCAACCAAGTTCTCCAACCAAGATGCATATAATTGACTAAATTATGCAAAAAATAATAATTAGTAAAAGTATATTAGTAAAAGTAACATACAAAATGTTAGGGGAATCTGGTTTGCAAATATGCATATGCATATTATATATTGCACACTCTATTTACACCTGTGCCTGTTATAGTTTTACTTCCCCAAAGTTTCCCTACAAGGCAACAATGACTCCTCACTCCCTGCCTCAGTATACCATCTGAACCACATCTTCTTCCTGTCTCAGTTTTCCTCCCCCAGAGTTTCACCCTCTGACCACAAATCTCCCTTCTCCATGCCTCAGTTTTCTTCCTCAAGACTTCCCTGTGTGATCTTTGTTTTTTACCTCCGCAAACCTCCTTTTCTCCCATACCCACAAAAAGGCAACAATAAATCTCCTTTTCCTCTTTCTCAGCCTGTTCCCCTTTCTCTCACACAGAAAAAAACTTCCCATGGAGCAAAGAGAGAAAGATCTGCTCCTCGTAGCAGATCATGGTGGTGCCTCCCCATCCCATGCTCCTCCTCCTGAGGTCTTCCTTCAGGCCATGTGCTGGATTTCTGCAAGGGCCAGATTCCAAATATCTGCTTGGTCTATGTTCTTCTTATGCTGTCTAGTGGCTCAGAGTACCACGGCAGTGTGTTGACAGACCAGTGCAACTATTACAGAAAGAGATAAGGGGGGGAGTGTATATTAGAAACTGCACTAAAATACTGATGAATTTCCATGAGGAATAACAATAATAATAAAAGCAGCAGCAAACTGATGTGGAGATATGGGGATCAGAACATAAGACTGAAAAAATGAGAACCAGTTCACTGGAACCTTTAGCTTTTAATTATGATATTTTTTTCCTGCCCAAGCTTGGTATGTAATGGCTATGGGGAAATGATAGCATGGACCACAGGCTACAAGACCACAGAGTTGAACAGGGCTTCTTCCAATGTACGCATGCATCACAGAATCGTAGAGTTGGAAGGGACCAATAGGATCATCTAGTCCAACCTCCTGCAATGCAGGAATCTTATTGCCAATGTAGTGCTCAAACCCACGACCCTGAAATTGAAGGTCTAACGTTCTATCAGATTGCAGCCTTTGTATTCTTCTTGTGCTTCCATAAAACGGCATTCAACAAATAGTAAACAATTATCAATTTGAGCAGGCAAGTGTTTAAAAGTATTTG